ATCATATTTTATACACACACACACACATAGCACGAGTGTGCGTGTGTGCATGCTGACAAGCGGCAGTCACTGTTATTACCAAACACACACCCTGAGCACTCAGACATATTTTCACCCAGCCTCGTGATTGACAGACTGTTTTATTTTGTCATTCAGAGAGACGCAGACACATGGATGAAAACCCGTGATCCAGCCTTCTCTGTTCCTAACCCCCGTCCCTCATCTCCTGTGTCTCCTGCTAGTCTTTTTATCCGTATCAGTGCTTTCCTTCCAGCGGTCGGCGTGTGAATGTGTGAACACTCGTCTGCCGCAGCTCCCAGCCGCTTATTGAAATGTTATGCAGCCGGCCAATTAGATGTGGAGAACAGCAGGTGAGCCCTGAGCTCTATCCAATCAATGACCTTAATCCTCCCTAATCAGCCAATTAAGATTCTATTATCGACAGCGAAATTGCACACATACACTAGAATGCACATATGCGCCGGATATGCAGGACTGAGGCGTTATCCTGTAGTTTTTGTGGGGATTTAACATTAAAGTTACTAAAGAATTCAGTGTCAGATGTTTCAAATAACACACGACAAAGTTTCATTATTTTCTAGCAAATCTATTTGCTCCCCTGTGGTGGCTGAAGGGTACAACACCTAAAGCCAACTTTAAAAGCGGAAGTATCCCACATATTTCACGGATATAGTGCCATTTTGTGGCACAATCAAGTAACTGTTACTGTCAGCTGCCATTAAAAAAAAAGAACGTTGATTTCATAATTTAACGCCTGGAAAATGCGCCTCTGTCTCTTTAAAAATTCTTCCTCTTTTTGAAGCTCCGCCTTCTGGAAGGAGTCACAGCATCGCTCCTTTGTTAACTCTTTAGCAACATTTTCAGATGCGCAGCTCCACCTGAAAGAAGGCTCTGCCAGGCAGCAGCAGCTCCGAGGAGGAGCTTCATCCTTGAAGGCGGAGCTACGTCCGCCCAGGCGTTTTTGGTACAGCTGATTCAACGGTTTCTCAAACACGCATGGAAGAATCAATGCAACACTTCAGGTATGTTTTTGATGAGGGAATAACATTATAACATGATGTAAAGCTCAAAAGAGTTCATTTTACATTAAACTTTTATTGGTTTGGCAATTGAAGTGTAAATATGACCACCGAACATTCCACCCCCTATAACCGACCTACACACAAATGACCACACCAATTCTTTTTGTTTCATTCTCTTACATCCACTCTAAAATAAAAAGTAGCATAATGTGACATAAATGAGCTAAAATGACATAAACTTCCTAAAATATCTTTAGTCTTATTTGGATTGTAAATGTAACTTTCTTTCTGAAGATGTCCTTTCACCAAGTGAAAAATAACTGAATAACCATAATCAAGGTCACAAATGAAGGAATCAGGACTGATTTATTTAAAGTGATTCACTTAAAAGAACATAACAGAATTATTTATTGTGCTGAGTGAAAAAATATCCAGCAATCCTCATGGTTAACAAGGACATTTCACTTCCTCTGTTCCGCATCCGCACAAGTTACATTGCATACATTAGTTCAAATTTATTTTATTGTGGCGTTTCTCAAACAAAGAAAACGTTTGCTCTGAGCAAATCAAATATGTGGAGTGCAGCTTTAGAAGGTGTAGAGGCAGGAAGAGAGAGAGCGAATTAAGTAAGACCAAAAAAACCAAAGCTGCACAGTAACAAGGACATTTCAGTATGCAGACATGTGTGCTAAGTATTAGTAATGGGAAACGTTATTAATTCAATCCAGTTCAAAAAATACTTTGATTCCAAACAAAACCAGTGGTATATTATACAAGCAGACTTCTTCAGTTATCTCACTGTTCCAGGTCAGGCTTCTGTAATGAAAAGTTGAGTGCATGCTGTAGCAATATGCACTCAACCCTGATATTTTGGTGAGTAGTTAGACTGACTTGTAATTGAGGTCAGACTGGGTTCAAATTTCACCTATAAGTTTGAAACTCAACTGCAACACAGAACTGACCAGTTTCATGTTCTGGTATTGCCTTAGGAGAAAAGTTAAATACACCATTCATAATGGAAACAATACATATTAGACTTACATGAACAGTTTATAATCTCTCGATGGTTATTTACGTTACTAATTTAATTTGAATAATAGAAAATTCCATTGCAGTTTTGCAAAATGTATCTATTTCTGTACAACTGAAAAGCCACCTCACAATGGTGCAAAAACTTATCAAAAATGTTTTGTTTTTTTCAAAATTGCCAACTTGGCCATTATCATAATTTATTAGAATAGGCGCAATTCTACAGTTAATGGAAAGGCATCTAATGATGCTGGGGTACAAAATGTCCCAGGGTAGAGTTCTGAAATACCATAAATCAGTAAAAAATTCAAAAGGGTAAAATCACCAGCAACATTACATTTTGTTAGCAAAAAGAAATATTAGCAAAAGGATCAGCCCTTTTGCTAACCGTGTAACCATTGACCTGACTTAGGAAATGAACCAATGTTGTACCAACGGATTCACAAGTATCGTAAAAGCATTGACAGAGTAAAGCATGACTTCACTTCCAGAAAGTTCATCTTTAAGCTAAAACGATCAGAATCCTCAGTCTTTTCTCAACACACCACACAGTCACTTTCCATTCATGTCTGGCCTTCTGTTTTCCCACACCAGTCTTGTATTTGCACCCATCTTGTGGTTCAGTGACTGCTTATGACTTAATTATGCAAGTCCTTGAAATGTGCCGCTTTGTTTGAATTGTGTTTAAGCGCTTGCATGGCGGAGTGGAGGTTATAAGGTCACCACTGCACTTAAACCTGGCAACAGAAACTGAGAATGGGACACACCTCTTCACTTTGGATTTAATTTATCTGAATCAGTCTTGGTGCTGGTTATGCAGTTTGTACTGTGCTGAATGATGGAGTGTGTACACAAGAAATGCAAAAGATTTGTGCACGTTGTTAGAGTAACTTCTTACACTGTGCCTAGCTGCTCTCCTTTGATGCACCAGCACAAAATTCATTGTTGCAACAAAGAAAGGAATTTGTTAGATTAATTGTTGCTGAAAGAAGTAATGCCAGTAGCAATGCCGTTTATTTTAATGACGTTATTCCCATCATTAGCTGTGTTTCCACTACAAACGTGGGCAAAACTTTAACATTCTGCTAATGTCGGAAAAACACAATTTTGCAATGGCAGTATTTAAATAAGAAACACAATCAAAATCACATGTGAATAAGTTTGTTCACGTAATGAGTCGTTAAATCGGACATCCTCCAATGACTTCCTGTTGTCTTTTTCGTCAGCAGTAACAGCATCACTTGTCATGTCAATTTGTGATTTGCGGGATGCGAAAACAATGTTTCCATTGCGGTTACGAGACAGCCTAAAGATCACCTCATTCAAGCACAAAAATTGATCAAAAATGAGTTTTTTTCTAAATTGGCAGGTTTCCATTCAGCAAATTTGTTTTCGTCCGATTTGTGCGATTGCGTGGTCGATGAAAACAGCTACTGCTGCTCACCTCTCTCTGTCTGACTACAGCACACAATGTAGACATGGACATTGACCACTGGACCACGGCCAATCACTATTTCTGATTGGTTTAGACCACAATACGGCCCTGATGTGCGTCTGTCGATGAACAACAGGGAGATATCCAGTGTTTAGATGCACTACTGAGAAATCAAGTAGCTTTTCCAACCAGACTTGTTGCTGTCTAGAGCCCTGGTGTGTATGTGTGTGTGTATATAAAACAGAAACAGAGTTTAATGAAGTAATTTTTTTCTGATTCTTCTCACAGCTTTATATTTTGGTTCTTCACATCTCTCTTTTCCTCATGGGAACTACATGATCTTCATGATTTGATGTCTTTTCACATTTAACTGTATTCAAGTCTTTCTTGGCAAGCCACTCTCAACGAGATGTTTGGCATTTTACTGTTTTTCTTTACAAGGACAGCTTGGTTCAGTCCTCTGCCTCCTGAACAACAGATTTTGTGTCTCTCTGGAGATTGTCCACTTGAGGATTATTTGCCCAGAAATAACATCTCTCTCCAATTAAAGCTATCATAAAATCCAGTAAAAGGAGATAACTGTCCCTTATAAAAGGAAAATTCAGAAAATGGGAAAGCTCGGCTCAATCCAAAGTGTTCATGTCTTAATACCAAAATGTTTTGATTTCATTTTCATAACGTAATATTACACAGGATCACAATTTTTAAAAAAGTACATTTTACTCAACAGCAGACTTGGGTGTGATCATTCATTAAACATGGCTGAATACCGGAAGTGTCTTTAAAGAGTCCCCCATTTTCTAAAATGTTTTTTTAGAAAATAGAGAACAATTCATCAAAAAAGAGTGGCATGTGTACATTATGTAACATAAAAATATATTTCATTAATATACTGGTTTTAGTTTTAATAGATTGATAAATATACATTCAACATAAATACAGAAAATATAAAATATGATGCATTTTTAATAAAAAATAATAATAAAGCCATTTGTGGTCCACAGGTATTTTCAAATTGACATGGAACATCTCTAGATGTACTTAACTGATATTTATTTCATTCATTAATTTTAAAATATTATGCTTCATTTTATTTTATCGTACATTATTCTCTGACGACTTTGTTTCAAATCCTGTTACCGGTCCTGGAGACTCTCCGCTCTTTGAGTCGGTTGACTTTTACAAAATACGGCGCTTTATGGCTCCGAATCGAAGCACAGCAACTCAGTCACTTATTATTTTATTATTTATGCGATTAGAACATGGCTGCTACAATGACTTCAAACCGCAAAAAGTGCAAGAGGAGAAGTGACTGGCGGCAGTCTTTGGGTTTGTGGCACGGCAGAGAAACAGACACATTCGCTCCTTATTCAGAATGAAAATGGAGAATATTAGTGATCTGATGTGCAGCAGCTGATGAACGTTTAACGTTGACAATTGAAGTAGTGCTTTTTTCAACAAAAAAATAAAATAAAATAAAGCCATCAACTTACTTTGCCTCTTGCTTTGTTCTGCTGGAATATTGGCGTTAATGAGGAAGTTGAGTTTACAGCAGGACTGAGGATTGGTCCACTGTGGAATGTGTCTGGAAAAAAATAACACAAAATATTAACTTAATTTAAACTGGATTATAATTAATGTTAAACATAACCTAATAAATTTACTTGGACAAGCTTAGTTGATTACTTGTGATCAGGTAACACAATATATCTAAGTTCTTTACTCCGTGCAATTTTCAAAAAAAAAAAAAAAAAAAGCATTATTAAAAAACCAAAAACATGATGGTTGTTAAAGGTGTCAAATATTCTCTGATCTGTGAAAGTAAGAAGAAAATATTGTCGCGTTTTCTTTTTTCTTTTAACTAGAAGCAGGTTTCTGTTCTGTGAGAACTTATTTACCTCTGCTGAGCTGAGAAAGACCAACCCGCTTCAACTTCGGGCCACAATTATTGCACCTTTTGTCATCTGTACAGTCTGTTCACCTTCTCCTATTCAGTCCCAGCTGCCTCCTTGTCACTATAGAGACCATAAGCTCAAAAGAATGAGGGCTCACTTCAATCAAACCATGAGGATTCGCACAGAACCATCCTTTCACCAGAAACCATTCTATTCTTTCTCTTTCTTTTAGCCCAGAAATAAACCGTAAGGGCTTTTGGTCGGCCTTTCGCTCAAAATGGATGAGTTGTGTTGGCAAAGACGGCAAAAATAGGGGCCTGAGGAAGAGTAGGGAGAAAGGAGAGGTGAGAGGAGAAGGAAGAAGCGAGATCTGTTTCAACCTAAAATAAGGATTTGATTGCAGTTTTGTTGCTCCTTGTCACGCTGTGGTGTGTGTCTGTGTGTGTGTGTGTGACACACTCAGATCACAAGCTGGAGATCAGAGATTATCGGCATCACATAAGAGGTGAAACTGGGGCAACAAATATCTTCAGTGTGAAAGTGAGGATATATAGCACCTTACAAAAGTCTTCACACTGTTTAAGGCTGCAGTATGTAATTTTTCTCTTTTTTAAAAAAAGTGAAATTGTTTAACCTGTCATCATGTCGCGACAGTATAACATGATAGTTTCTCCACTTCCTCAGCATACTTCTGTAAATACACAGCCAAACCAAAAACAACCAATCACAGCCAGGAGGAGGGTCTTAGCCCCTCCTACAATAATAAGGAGGGTCTTAGCCCCTCCTCCTGGCTGTAATTGGTTGTTTCTAGTTAGCAGGCAGAGGAATTTGATTTATTTTTCACAGATTATCTGTATGATAACATACTGTCATTACTCGATGACAGTTTCAAAAGCTATTTAAACATTTTTTATTTTTGTAAATAAAATTTCATGACTGCATCTTTTAACCACATTCAGCGGTTAAAACCTCTCTGTCTGACTCCACTGTAGCAGCACATGGTTGTGAAGTGGAAGGAAAATCAGACATGATTAAAAATGTTCTACTCATGAATATAAATTTGAAGTGACTCGTGAGTGTGTAAATGAATTCAGCGCCTTTTTCTCCTGGTGACCAAATACGAGAAAAACTTGAAGGGAATTAAAACTTTTGCATTTTGAATGAGTAGGTGAAACTATGTTTCATAAGATAATCTCATTTTCTTACATAAAGTCTTTCTAAAATGCAACACATGACAATGGAGACCCTGCAAAATATGCAAATGCTAAAATAGAAGCACACGCATGGGCACGCTTGCTGAGCATGGTGAATCTGCAGCATGCCTCGTTTCCATGGGACGTGAATATTTTGGGATGTAGATGAGCACAGCCAGGACTTTGGACATTGCAGTCGTGTTCCAAGGTTCCTACTATTCAGATTAAAAATGTGCATAAGCCAAATAAAGAACCCAACAAAATAAGATAAGTGAGATGGTTCACTTTTTTATATGGTTTCCAGGTCAGTTAGGTAAAGAATAAGAGAGCTCGTTGGGTTTTTTCTTTTTTTTTTTGAGCAGATTTCTTCTCCAAATGTTGCATTTATAAGTATACTTGTGCTAAAAGTATAAAATAAAATAAAAATTTTCTAGCAAAAAATGTTGGACATAAAAAAAGAAAGAAACCTGAGAAAACATTAATAACATGATAACAGACATTCTGGACTTTGTGTGGTTTGTTTTCGGTGACATATAGGTGAGTGCTACTCACTCATATCTGCACTTGTGCTCTAGCCCAACAAACAGAAACAAAACTAAAGTTACCTTTGCTCCTAAAGAGGAGCATTTAGAGCCACCTAGAGACAGTTACAAAGTCGGCCTTCTGTCACCTAACGTTCCAGCAAGATCTATTCAATTTTTACACCTCTAGTTGAATTTGAAACCTTTTTTATTATTATTGTAGAATAAAGTTTACAGCCACAATTTTTACTTATGGTTTATGACAAATACCTGAAACTATTTGAAAACTGGTGGGACATGGAGATATAGAAAGAACCTGAAGTCACTGAACCGTACATTTCCAAATACAGTCTGAACTCGAACAGCAAAAGGTGAGCTGTATATTTTTAGGGGTGGCTGATCATATTTCGGTATGACAGCTCTGTGCTACGAGCCAAACTCTGAGATCACAGTTGTTCACAACAGATGCTGCCCAAGAAAGAATAAAAGTATAAGACAAGAGTTTCAAACTATCTTACATTTTCTGTAGTTTCTGTACATTCCTCCAGAATATTTAGAGAGATGAAAATGCTTTTGTGCTCTTGACTCCTGTACGTATAACTAAATAATAGAGAATTGTCTGATGGCTGAAGCTGCACAAGGATCACAGCCCCAACCCTGCGACACCCTCTCTCAGCTCCTTCAGACTAGCCAGCCGCAATTAGCAAACACCCCGTGTATTACATATAGCTATATTTGGCAATTTTTATAACAACTGACTGTTCCATAGTTACTTGATGGTGTTGCATAAAAGCAATATGTGCCTGGAAAACACATAACACTGTTTTCCACACAGTGTTATGTGTGGGAACACACATAACACACAAAGTCTGACTCTACCGTTAACTGTTGCTACTCAAATCAACAATTATCAGACAAACCTATGTTTTTCCCATTTCTGAAAAGTGGATCCTCAGTTTTCTGCTGCTGGGTGTCACGAGTTGCACCCAGTATGATCTTCTTCTGCTGCTGAAGTCCGTCTTGATTTGTTCTTCAGAGATCCTACTAAGCGCACACCTTGGATGTAGAGAGCGGCTTAGTGACTTATTCTATTTCTCTTGTTGCCATCAGGAAAATAATTTACATATCAAGGCCAACATGCTAAATCTTAAAAGATTTTTTTTAAAAGTAAAATGGCATGTTTTGTTTTATACAGAAGTAAAGAGGTCGCCTCAGGGTTGGACTCATTTGATAACGAGCTTTTAACAGCGTGTTATTTTAAAGTCAAAATGCGGTGCTATTATGCAAATTGAAACTTTCTGATGTGTTCTTTTTTTTCTAACAAAATAGCTTGTTTGTGGGTAACACAGCAATTTACTGCTCCTGTTAGGATGAACATTACTGTTAAATCATGACGGCAAACCAAACAAAAGCACCTCTACCGGGGCTTTATTTCCGTGTTTGCAGTAGGTTCCCATGTGCGTGTGGCTGTGGCTGAGTTTTGTTTTTATTCTTGCTGAACTGCAGCAATAATGGTTGCTCTAGGCTATTAGTGATGCTCAGCTGCTCCTCAAATTCCAGACAAAGGCTGGAAATTCAATCAGACTCTAGGCAAAACAATAAAGTCAGGGAGGATAGTACATTAGTGAAGAGGTGATATACTTGGGAGGTTTTAGCGCAAAATGTGCTTCAAAGGAGTTTTGTCCCACGGAAAATTGCTTTCCGAGTTGTACTGCAGAGGAAATGTCATTGCTGGTTGGTTTGTGTTCAGCCTGTCTTTTCTGCAGTTCCAACACAACAGATGCTGTTTGATGTCTGAATGTGTCCAAAAACATGTCCTCTTAAAGTTAGATCACTTTTTAGATATTAGACTATCTTCACAAAAAAATCTGACCCGGCGGGTAATTAGTTAATTTTTAGTTAAGGATACAGTGGTGACTTTTAACATTGACTATTTTACACTGAACGTTCAACATGGTAAGTAATAATTTTAGACATTTCTGTTACAGACTGTGAAAAAAAATACAATGAGCAAATGTGAAATGGATTGTTCTTTACTGAAATTAGTCACAATTTAAAGCACAATGTCAGATTCAGGAAACCTTTTATTCCTTTTTTTTGAAAACCAATATTGACTATTTTTAATGCATATGAGCATTTGGATCAGCTACAAATTCAACAGCATGAAAACAAAGTAATATCCAGACAGACTTGGAGTGGAATATTCTAGACCTGATTACAGATTGTTTCAAAACAGAGTTTTGCATTTGTTGAAGTCATGCAATCCCCTTTTTTATGATTTGTTTTATTATTTGATATTGTGTGTCCAGTAACGGCATAGTTACTTTGAAAAAGTAACTTTAATCGGATTACTGATTACTCCTTGAAAAAGTAACTTAGTTAGATGACTGATTACTTGATTTGGAAAGTAACTAAATGACATTAAAAGTAACTTTTTGAGTTACTTTCAGCAGCTGTTAACAACAACGCTCCTGTGACAATTACATTGATATTTGCCAAAACTTGATTGCAAGTTATTTTATAATGGCAACATCAACAATGTGTCTCCATTTATAAGAAGGGGAGATTGTTCAATGGCAGTACAAAAAAAACGTACATTTTTGTGATTGTTTTTACGTGTTCCAGTACTTTAAATAGGATTTGGTTTACAGCGACAGCGTGGCTATGGCTATCTTCAGCGTTGTGCGCGTGCCCAAAATTTTGGGACTTAAACGATAACATAAAGTAGTTACATTCCAAGCTTTTGTACGTCATTCACTATTGTAGACTTTTGCATACTCACACCCTCAATAGTGAGGAACACACAGCAACGTAGATGCACTCAACCAGACGCTGACCAGCCACAGTAAGACGTCACAATTTAGAGGGGATTGAAGAGGAAGTTTTTGTTTTTTTTCCAAATGGAGGAAAGAAAACCAAAGATAAGCAGCCCTGGCAGACCCTTGCTATGATGCTCTTCATAATGCATTTCATATT